CCCACGAAAAAGAAATAGTTGACCTGTCTTCTGTTTGAGTTGATTGTTTTTTAATTAGGAATTATAAATCACCTATGCAAAAAAGTTGGGAACCAATTTTAAAAAAATAAATTATGGGGTTTACAGAGGGTGGGGAAGGGATGAATAGGTGAAACACTGGACATTTTTCGGGCAGTGGAACTATTCTGCATGATACTGTAATGGTGGATACATGACATTATACATGTCTCAAAACCCACAGAACTGTAAAACACAATAAGGTAATCCTAATGTAAACTACAGATTTTAGTTACTCACAATGTATCAGTATTGTTTCATCAACTGTAACAAATGTACCACACTAATGCAAGCTGTTGATCATAGGAGAAACTGTGTGCAGAGAGGAGTAGGGATACATGGGAACTCTCTGTAGTTTCTGTGCAATTTTTTCTGTAAACCTAAAACTGCTATAAAAAAACAAAGTGTATTCATTAATTAAAAAAAAAAAAAAAAAAGTACCCATCAACATTATACCAAATGTGACCAGGCTTTACATTTTAGGAATATTTACTTACTCTAAGACCTATATGAGTGAAAATAAGAGGTTCTCTAGGATTCTAATCCTTGTTTCCTTGATCCAATTTTCCAGAACTCAGGCTCTGCAAACCCTTACCTTCCTTGAATTTCAGTTCTCCAAATGTTCAACTATCCTGAACTCTTTCTGATGAAATTTCATATGAATCACCAGCCCAGATTCACTCTTCTGCTAAGTCACCTACCTTTAATATAATATGGTTTCCCCAACCTAGTAGCATAAGGTTAAAATTCCAGATGGTCCCTGCAAGAATAAAACTAGAGCCAGACTCAGACATGACCCAAATGCTGCAATCACTGGATTTTAAAATAACTATGATTAATATGTTAACAGATCTAGTGGAAAAAGTAGACAACATGCAATGAACAGAACAGGATTTTCAGCAGAGAGGTGAAAGCTATAAGGAAGAGACATATGGAAATGCTAGAAATAAAATACAATTATCAGAGATGAAGAATCTTTCAGTGGGCTCATTAGTTGACTCTACACAACTGAAGAAATAATCAACAAATTTTAAGACACCTCAATAGGAACTGGAGCCCTGGTGGCACAGTGGTTAAGAGCTTGGCTGCTAACCAAAAGGTTGGCAGTTCAAATCTACCAGCTGCTCCTTGGAAACCCTGTGGGGCAGTTCTACTCTGTTCTACAGGGTTGCTATGAGTCGGAATTGATTGGACAGCAACCGGTTTTTCAATAGGAATTATCTAAACCGAAAGACAAAGGAGAAAGAACTAGGGAAAAAAACAGACTAGAGTATCCAAGAGCTATGGAAGTACGTCAGTCTAACATCTTTGAAACTGGAGTCTGAGAATGAGAAGAAAGAGAGATGGGGCAGAACAAATATCTGAAGAGATAATGGCCAAAAGTTTTCCAAAAGTAATAAATCAATCAAAGATCCAGGAAGCTTGGATAAGTATATATACTGAAAAGCAAGATAAAAATATATATTTAAAAAGAAAACGAAAACACACACATCTAGACACATTATAGTCAACAAACCAAAGAAATCCAAAAATAAAATCTTAAAGGCAGCCAGAAAGAAAACAAAAGGGACACATTACTTACAAAGCACAGGAATAAAGACAAAAATTATAGCATGGAAATTGAGAAAACATTAGACATGTCTGATCTTCCCCAACGAGTTTGGTAATATTAGATTCTTGCCAGAAACTATGCAAGCCAGAAGGCAATGAACTGCCAACTTTACAGCACTAGGGGAAAACTGTCAACCCCAAATTCTTTGCTCAACAAAAATGTCTTTCAAAAATAAAGGCAAAATAAAGACTTTTCCATATGAACAAAAGTTGCAAGACTGTCGTCAGCAGACTTTCATTAAAAGAAATATTTCAAAAAGTTCTTTAGGGAGAAGGAATTTGGATTTACACAAAGAAATGAAGTGTATAGGATATAGTCAAAATGAAGGTAAATATAAAGGACTTGTTTTTCTAATTTTTAATTGCTTCAAAAGTTAATTTTGTCTAAAACAAAAATAGTAAATTATACTGTGGAGTTGTAAAAGTAAAATATTTAACAACAATAGCACAAAGGATGAAAGGCAGGTACTAGAAGTACTCTAAGGTTCTTATCCTATGTGAAGTGATACAAATTTAAGGTACACATTTTTAACTTATTATAGTTAAATGTATACCTTTTAACTATAATAAGTTAAAAATGTATATTTTACACTAGGGCAACCATTAAAAAATTTATTTAAAATTATAATAAGCCAATGTTGTTACTGTGTGCTGCTGAGTTGATTTCAACTCATAGTGACCCTACAGAACAGAGTTGAACTGCCCCATAGGGTTTCCAAGGCCGTAAATCTTTACAGAAGCAGACTGCCACCATCTTTCTCCCGCAGGACAGCTGGTGAGTTTGAACTGCCAACCTTTCTGTTAGCAGCCAAGTGCTTTAACCACTGCGACAACAGGGCTCCTTTAATAAGCCAACAGTGGAGATAAAATAGAATCATAAAAATTATTCAAGTAACCCAAAAGAAGGCAGAAAAAGAGTTAAAGAAAGAACAAAGAACAGATGGGACAAAGAGAAATCAAGTAGTAATACAGTGGATTTAAATCCAATCATATCGATAATTACATTAAACATACATGGTCTAGAATACTATTTTTTTTTTATGTTGACCATGTAGCCAATCATCTTGCCTGAGTTGAGGGAACAGAAGTTTTAAATAGGATATAAACTTTTGATATTTGACTGGATTTTTTGTAACTATGACTCTTAATCAGTAAAATAAGACTTATTTTTTTAGTTAAAAGTGACCTCTTATCAAGAGGCAGGGGAAGTAAGGTCAGCAAGGATGGGAGAAAAATAAAGCTATTTCCTACCTGTACGCCATCAGGTATAGCCCATATACCAGTAATATTAGTCCATAGTGCCACCATCTACCTGTTATTCAAGTTAGAAATCTAGGAGTTATTTTAGATTCTCCCTCTCTCCCTCCCATCTAGTCATTAGATCTGAAATCTCTCTCAACCCATATCTTCCTCCCTAGCCCCTTAGCTACTTACTAACCTAGCTCAAACCTGAGTACTATAATAATCTAACTTACTGATTCTCTACCTTGGCCTACACTCTAGCATTTAAAAATATTAAATTTAATACCTAGGCCTCAGCCTAAAGATTCTGATGTAAATGGGGTTAGGTATGGCCCAGTCATTAGTTTTTTTCAAGAAATCCCCACATGCTTCTCAAGTGCAGCTAAGGTTGAGAATCACTAACCTAACTGGTCTCCCTCAGAATCCAGGCTTACATTTCCGCAAACTATCTTTCATGATACCACAATAGTATTCTTTTTAAAAGTACAAACCTAATATTATCTTACAGCAGTGGTTCTCAATCTTGACTACCTATTAGAATCACTTAGGGAATTTTTAAAAATCCCGATACCAGACCAAACTCCACACCAATTAAAACAGAATCTCTGGGGATGAGACCCAGGCATCAGTAAGTTCCCCAGGCGATTCAATGTGCAGGCAAGGTTAAGAACTGCTGTCCTAAAGGCAATGAAAAGCCACAGAAAGTCTAAGAAGAATAAAACCCAAATACCCCTAAAGTTAATGAGACCTTCCGTCTAATCTTAGTACGCTCAGCACTCCTACTACCAAAACAATATAGCTCCATGAAAGGGCTACAGTTTTTACTTTTGTGCAAAGTATTAGCTGAATCCAGAAAGCCCCCTCTGTTCACCCACAGCTAATTCCCACCCACCAGGTTAAGGCCTTTCAAGAATTGCCTCTGTTGTATAACTCTTCCCTGATATGCATAATAGAGCTCATCAATACACCTGTGATGATTATGATTCTCTAGGGCCATTTTTAACTTTTAAGCCTAACACCCCTATTATACTGTATACTCCCAGAATTAAAAACTTGATCTTACTCATGCTTTTATCCCCATTATCTATCACTATGCATGGCGCACAGTAAGCACTTGAGTATCTGTTGAATTCATTCCATTTAGGTAAATAATTACCTATGGTACTATGCAGGCAGAATCCCATCTTAAGAAACTGTAAGAGACATCAAATTTATACCTAGTATACAAGCCTCATCAAAACAGAAACCAACAGCAAGATTTTTAAAAAATGTAAGGCAAATGTTTAGTGTTTGCTCTATTTATGAGCGGGAACAAATTAAGGAAGAAAGAGGGTACAAAGAGCAGTATGTTTCCAGACTCTCAATGGTGGCACCTTACAGAAAACAATGCTTGGTTTCCACCTGAATACTATGTATTTTAAAACATACTGTTTTCAAAACATTATGCTGGTATGATACGTGTACGTTTTAGGAAAGTGAGCTAAGACTACTTACTTGACCAGAAAGTAAAATTATAGGTACATTAAAATGAAAACAAACTATGAAAAGCTTTCAAATGCTTTAAATGTATTGTACTTAAGCTTAAAAAACACTGATAATATGGTTACCAGCATCTGATGGCAATTTCTAGTACTTAGGGTATTCCATTACCCAGCAAAAGCTAAAGATCTCCAAAAAGCCTAGAACAGTCTAAGCAGAAGAGACCAAATATTAAAAACATTTAACATTCTATATTTATGTAATCAATATATATGTGCCTTACCCAAAGGACAATCATTTTGCTAAAATATTAAATGGAGTGGAACTGAACACTTACACAATGTACTTTATTGAAAAGATTTTTGCTGTACCCACATTCACATGGGCTATGGAAATCATCTTAACATGTAAAATGATTATTACTATGTATTTAAAGTAAATTTTTTATTTGTCATACACCCTCAATTACTAAATTCATCCAGTATTCACTGAATGCCTGTTACTAGCTTGGGAATATATTAAAATTGAAGTATCTAAAGTGACTAGGAAAAAAATAAAGGCATCAACCACAATACTTGGCATTTGTGGCCAATTTTTTTTTTTTTTTTTACCTTATTTGGTGATTTCAAAGGTGAGATGGCTATTTTATTTGGTGTCTGTGTTGTAGAATTTAAAGTTGATCCAATAACACCACTTTCAGATATTGTTATGGTCTTTGATGGAGTCCCAGGAGTAGACTGTGAAAGAACCCTACCTGCAAATGAGAGGCAGCACATCAGTTTGACTTTTTAAATGATAGCTTAAAAATTTATGTGATGATGATCTACACCCACAAGGACTGTAGTATATATATGTTCACTATTTCATATGTATCAACATGTGAACTTAATACTTAAGTGAGTTCCTAGTAAACTGTGGTGAATCTAGGCAGAATAAGACAATGCCTCTGATTAATGCTTAATATCACTTTACATAAAGTCTACAAAAACACTTGCACTCATATTCTCATCAATACTGTTAAGTTATAGGTATCAAAAAACAGGTTCAGGACTATCAAGCAACATGCTCTGCGTAACACAGCTCCTGGAAGTTAGGACTTGAATCTGTACCAACATTACATTACACTATACTTATACTATACTCTACTATAGCTATCTTCCTATTTGAACTGAAGCCATGTAAGATACAATTTAAATCCACACCTACAGAAAAGATTGTTACTGGCCTAAGCTGAACAGTTTGGTTTAACACTGACTTTAGGCTGTCAAAAGAAAAAAAAAAAAGCTTCTTCTAGCTGCCCTGGTCAGATCATACCAGGAATACTGTGTTCTCTTCTAGATAATACCCTTGAGGAACAATATAGAAAAACTACGGTGTATCAGGGTGGCTTAGGCATTAGAAATCATTACAACGGGTGGAAATACTAGGAATTTTTATTCTAGGCAAGAGAAGACACGAAAGATCTCCAGATTCTTGAAAGACTGTGTGACAGTCACTAGTGCCCTTCACCAAGTACTCCTGGTTCCCCCATTCTGGGCGCATGGTAGAATTGCACTTCCTGCCCCCTTGTGGTTGGGCTGGGGCCATGTGATTAGTTCTGGCCAATCAGTTATGAGTAGAAGTGGTGTGTGTCACTTCTGGGCCAGAGGATTTACTGCGTATGCAAGACTTGGCCAAAGCTTTCTTTTTCTCTGGCACATTTGAGATGGTGGCTCCTATGTCAGCCTGAATCCCAAAGTGACAATGATGAGAAGAGCCCCTTTCCTACCCATGTAGGACATATAAATAATCATGAAGTATGAGTAAAAAACATAAAACTTCAGGTTTTTTAAACTTCCAAGATTTAGAGGTTGTTATTAAGACAGCAAAACCAAGATTACCCTGTGATTCAGGCTGTCATCTTGATGGATTAGAACTGATCTGTATCATACGAGATGCAGCACTAGAACTAACGCATAAAAGCAGAGAAAAAGTTCAGCTCACTATAAGAAAGAACTTCTAACAAACATTTCCAATCGAAATGAGTATTTCAAAAGGAGTGAATTTCTAGTCACTGAAGGCATTCCAATCAGATGCTGGACAGTCAAATCTATTGGCTAAAAAGGGAATTTAAGTACCCAAGAAGCAGAGGAAGTAAATAACTAAATTATCTCTAAAATCCCTCTAAACTTTAGATTTAACCTATAGATACAGCTAGAGATGAAAGAGAGAGAAAGGGAAGGAGAAAGGGAAAAGAGGAAAGAAAGCAAGCAAGGAAGGCAGGCAGGAAAGCAGAAAGGAAGGAAGGAGATTTAGCAACTCCTCAGCCACTTTTCCTGATAACAATGCCAAAGTATACAGTCTGTTTTTAAAAAAAAAAAACAAAAAAAAAAGTGAATCAAGTTTCATCTGATATTTACAAAATATTTTAAATTTAATTTTTTCAATTTCTTTGTAGTACGTGGTTATACTTAATTTTATTGACATGTTCCTTAATGAATTTTAGTTAAATGTTCCTTGGATGCTGTTTTTACCTGAATTACATTAAAAGTAAACAACTCACTTCTATATAAACGAAATATAACTACAGCAAATATGTTTAGGCCACCCTAAAAGTGTTGAGCCTGCGTAAAATAACATGGCTATCTGTGCTGGTTTCCAAAGCTAATACCTGTGGGATGAGCGTGAAACCCCAACAATCATTATGTTAAGAAAATAATTTACCAAAAGACAGTTTCATAAAATGCTCTCATCATTTATAGTTATTACTATAATGTCATAATTGTCAGGCATTACAAGCAGTCCCCAGATTATGAACAAGTTCTGTTCCTAAGTCTGTCTTTAAGTCAAATTTGTGCTTAAGTCAGAACAGTTAGGTACGGTTCGGTTCATATCTAATGTCAGTCAGTCAAATGTCTGTCTTAGTATATAGTGTACGTTTCTATGCATAAAAAATTAAAGAACAACTTTCAGATACACTAAAACATCTTTAACATAACAATACAGTAATAATAATAATGTTTTGATGCACACTGCAAAGTAGCACCTATTTGTTATTACGAACCATTGCATGTACCTCAAATTTTAAACATAATAGGCTTTATGGGGGTTGGCTCATAACTATCGGTTCGACGTTGGTAACCTGGGGGCTGCCTGTACATACTTTTCAGAAAACATTCATATAGGAAATCCTCAATTCCTGGGGATAATTAATACCAGAAAAAGACCACTTAAAGTGAATTTACTTTTATAGGGACAAAAATTTTACAGTAAGTAACAAAGAAAGCTAAAACTTACTTTTTTTTTTTGGTTATATTTAACAAAAATTTAGTAACTCTTAGGACGAACAGAGTAAATCAACTGTTGCATTTTGCAGAGGGGATTCTTCTGAAAATTGTATGACGCACAATGACAACCTCTGTGTGACAGGCATGATAAAAGGCCATTTCTGTAAAATATCTGAGGATTCCATCAATTTTCCCAAGAATTCTCTATTAGCCTTTGAAATTCAAGTTATTCTCTCTTTGAGGGGCCCACCTGGTTATCATTCAGATAGCATTTTTCCTGATTATCTCATCTAACCTTCAGATCTCCATTTATCCTTAGCTCCACAGACTGATTCAAGCAAGTATGCACGATATACAATTTCGCCTTGAAATCAATTTGAAAGGCTTCTGCACTGTACTGTCAGGTGCTCTCCAAGGATCACAAAGAGACACACTCCAAAAGGCTACAGATGTGATAAGCGGGGCAGGGAGCTAGTATATCTGAGCAAGGACTAATTCTGTAAGAGATCAGCTCATTAGTTAAGTATTTTCACATCGTGATGAAGTTTACTCCTCTGAAGCAACCTTGTACCTTGGAAGCTCTGATAATCATGACCTCAGTATCTCATTTAACCATCTCAAAAGTTTTGTGAGGTGGCTGGAGGCTAAATTTTACAAAAATAAGTAAGATGAACAAATAATATATTTACTCAAGATCACAGAGAAAATCAATAGAAGAGCCATAATTAAAACCCAGGTCTCCCAATACCTCTTCTACCATACCACTATACTGCCTCCATGATATACTTATTTATTCAACAATATATATTCACTGGACCACCAGAAACTATGCTAGGTACTGGAGAGATAGAGAAACAAGATAAAAGAATTACCATCAAGAAAACCACAAGTAGAGTAGGGTAGACAGAAAAGAAAACCAAGTATTACAATACAGTGTGACTAATGGACAAGTTAAAAGTTAGTATGAAATTTAATAGAAGGTTAATTACAGGTACGTATTTGGTAGGGATAATCAAGTTTTATGGGAACACATCGAGATGGTCAGAGGAAGAGCACCTAACTAAACCCAGGAGCTAAAACTTCCAAGATACGTAGAGATAAACCACAGATTAAAAGTATGAGTTAGCCATAGGGAAGCACAAAGAAAGGCACTCTAGGTAAAAGGAACAGTGCCAAGATCCTAAGACCTGTGAGAACATGATCCATTTGGTAATCTCTTAAAATCAGTGAAATCAGCAGGTATGGAGCTGACAGGAGGTGAAAATGAAAAAGGTATGGATTAGATCATAAATTCCTTTAATGCTAAGAAAGCACTGGCATTAGAACTTGACCCTGACACAAATGGATGAGGCCAAGAAAATTTTAAGCAAGGGTGTGATAAGATCTATGTTTTAGAAAAATCGTTTATATGCAAATATGTTTATCTTGACTGGAAGATAGAAAGATACCCATCTCCAATGAGAGGCCCAAAAATCATCAAAAAACAACCTAACTGTACTTTTAACAAGCATTAGCTGCAATATAAAGATGACAGACCCTCCTTGTCATAAGACAATTCAACAACTACTTCAGTGGTTTAAAATTTGGCTTGTATTAATTTAAAAAGCTAGTTAAAAGTAGAATTTTTCCCTCCAAAGCAAATTTAATGCCAGTAATTCTAGTGAAATTTAATAGATGGCTATCTCTATGCATTTCGGAAGGGCTGATAAGTCTGTCTACAATTAAAAGGTGAAGCTACAACGATTCTGCAACATATTATAAATGACCCAAAGACGCAGCATTAACATCCATGATATTCAAATATAAGAGGGGTAAGGCAGACTCTTGACATTAACCAAAAATTCATTCAGACACTTCTACAAACACCACTATTGTTCAGGATACAATTTTCCCCCATAACTAAAAATATTAAGAGACTCTCTCAAACAAGGACAGTAAAGAACACTGCATTTAAACATTCCTCCCAGTTAAGCACCTCCCACCTGCCCAAGGCCTCCCAAGGGACTGTTCCGTTGGTCCCTTTTTTCCTCAATACATCCTATCCTTGCTCACTTTCAGCCAACTGCAGCCTATTTCTGGAACCAGCACCAAATCTAAACCCTTTCAAATCTTTCCTCTGGGATCATAGCTGCCCCCCATGAAAGCCCTCTAGACACCAGCCCCTGAAACCATCACAAACATTTCTACACAGGGCCCAAAAACAAAGAGAACACTTACTCAACACTGCTCTCAAACTACAATCTTTTCACCCCTTCTCACAACTGCTGAAATGAGAAGTCACCCTACGTACAATTCAAAGCCTGAGGAAAATGACAAATCATGGCCATTGGCTTCAGAGTTGCCTACTGTTATACTGTCTTTAAATTTCTCAAAGAGAGCAGTTACATGGTTTTAATATATACCCTAGGGATGTGAAGTACCCTCTCCAAAAATACACATTCTAAGGATGAATAATTAGCATTTCAAAGTCTCTAATCAAAAATCTACCATCCAGAGTTGTTTCCACAAGCCTTTAGCACAATGGAAATGAGAACTGATCTTGTAACAGGTAAAAAGAGTAATGTTACTATAGCTCTGAATTAAGGACTAATCACCATGGCCATGTGATTTTTCTATGAAGTATTGAGCTGCCTGCATACCTACTTCTCAGGAAAGGACTGATAGAGAATTACTCTGAGCCAGGCAAGGAGAAGACAGAGAGCTGTACTTGACCAGACCATTATATTTCTAGGGGAAAAGGAATCAGCAGTATTTGGAAGGAAGTAATAATTATGGATTATAGACTAAGTTGACTACGGAAGGACTTGAGGACTGGAAGGCGGTGATTACTAATGAGAAAGTGTAAGGGTCAAAGAATTGCTGGATTGGGAGTCCAAGAGCAAGTAAACTGAAGTCAAGATTTCTGAGGTGTTACAGTTACTGGTGATAACAAATTTTTAAGTACATAATGAAAAAGAATTGAGCCACCCAAAGGAGTTTCCTGGAAAAATATAGCTAAAACTTGTTATCACTTAAGAAATTACCATCATTGGGACAATTTTCTGTTCAGAGAATTGCATATGGTGCACATTAAAATACTGAAACCAAAATTTCAAACAGAAACCATGAAATACTATACTCCCATGTGTATTAATTTAAAACCTACCAGAATTAGCACTTGTACTCTAGAGACAAACTGTCTAGGTTCTAATCCCAGCTCCACCATATACTAGCTAAGTGTCTCTGTTTCCGCATTGGTAAATGAGGATATTACTAGTACCTATCTAACAGGATTGTCAGAGGTTGTATGAGTCATTATATGTAAAGAGCTTAGAACAGTGCCTGACACACAATAAACACTACATAAATGTTAGCTGGTTTTCTTAAAGCTTAATATTTTGATATTTTCATTACAAAGGTCTACCAAAAACTAAGAAGACTGAAGTAATGAACTGATTTTGAGATAAGGCATTTTGTTTGAAACACACATTTAGTAAGTATAGTATTTCTTATTAACTAGTTTGGTTTATAATATGCTATGTTTGTTGCACTAAAACATTTTAAGGTGGCAGAAAAGCCTGTTTTAAACCTAATAGGAAGGTAAATATTTGGCTTAATAAACCATAAAGAAATATAACCTGCAATGACTGGTGGTGATACTTGAGTTGTCTGTCCTGTAACTGCTTTACTATTAATTGGTTTTGCAAAGATCAGCTTCGTGATTACTGGACCAGAGGTTGGTGTTCGAGGCTTCTTAGCAATCTGAAACATATAAATAACTATGAAGACCATGTTTTCATAAAATACCTATTCAATCAAAGTTAGACAGAAGATCCATACACAAAACTACATGTGAAACCAGCTTATTTGACAAAATATATCTAAGGTTTAACATTAAAAACATTTAAAATACAGCCATTCATCAAAATATAATTAATATGATCACACTCTTAAGCCCACATATGATAATACATTTGCATTTTATTGTAAATCCTTATTTTTGTCTCTGGAATATATGCATATGATGAAAACTAAACTAATATTTAATAATAAGCAGAACACTGTGGTATAGCAATATTCTTTTTCAAAGTAAACTCTTCAATAATAAAAAGATGGAGTACAGTAGTTATTTAAGAAAGTACAGCACAAATAATGAAGCCACCTGTAAATATAATTACATTGGCCTCTGGAAGCAAAATATAAATACACATGAAAGACAAATTTATGATCAGATTTTCAACTTCAGATCTACACATGAGGAGTAGATAAAGGAAGAACTGAACAAGCTAATGCCCTCTGGTACAGAGAGACAAGTTTGGTTAAAACAAATGCTACTCTAAAGACAAAGGCTCTGAAACATTACTTACTAAAATACTGTTACTATACCATAAAGTCCTTGAAGGGAGGATCTATATTTTATTCATCTCTGATCTGAAGTTATATATTGGCATGCTGTTGACCTGAACTAAAATTCTCCACAAATCAAGGAAGGGAGAGTTACCTGTATTTTCAGATTAAAATTATCAAAGTATGTAAAGAAAAAGATTCCCCTAAAAATTAGGAGCAGAAATTTAGCTATGATAAAAAGTATAGATTTTTAGAGCAGGATGGACATTAAATATTATCTTTTGGCAGATATGGAAACTGAGACTCTGAACAGTACTATTTATTATTGGCAATAACGACTTAAAAGGTACAAACATGACCAACTTGAGCAAAAGAAATATACCAGAACCTGTAATAGATCATAGAATTAACTAAATATCAGTTCTTTGTGCTCAAATTACAAACTGAAATAACACATTTTCTTACACTCAGAATATATTAGTTTCTTACATTCAGAACACATTGCTGACAAAATAAAATATAAATGAAATACAAATCACTCCTTTAAAAACAAGTAGAATTATTACTATATTTTAAAATACCCAGTTTATAAAACTATTACATACCCAAATAAATCCATAATTATACTTTAAAAAGCTGATGTAATTCAGGAAGACATACAGGGAAAATATTTTCCAAGTGCATTTATAGGTCTAAAACGCTAAAATAAGTTAGAATTTCATCTATCAGTATTAGTGATTTCAAGAGTTAGAAATAATGATGTTCTTAGAAAACCAAACAACCTTAGCTATAAACATTAACAGCCTGAAGTACTTCTCCATTTTTAATTATTTTCACAATTATATGACTTATAGGAATACTTACCAAGCAGGAAAATAACTTCAACAATATAGCCAAGAAGCACATTAATTTTTCAAATACACAATCTCATCTTACCCTTGGGGTTATGTTCCTCTAGTTGAGCATTGTGGAAAATAACAATTTGTAGTCCCATTATAGAACTATGAATTTTTGCATTATGAATGCTGAACTACACTAAAACAAAACTACTTTAAGTAAAACAAACCATAAAGGATCATTTTTTAACAATTTTATCTAATCAGCAGATTAAGACAAAAATGAATCAAAAAAGGAGATTTACAAATGAGGTAGACAAATACGTCATCAAATAATACATTCAGGTAATTTTTGGCACTGTGTTGGACAGATTCAGAGGCAAGTAAAGAGTTATGTTGTTCCAGATTACTAGTCATTTACTTTTCTTATATACTGTGCACATGAAACATAGGAAAAGTGTTTATATATTTGTTATTAAGTATAATTATACCTCTTTGGGAGCCCTGGTGGCACAGTGGTTAAGAGCTCAGCTGCTAACTCAAAGTTCAGCAGTTCAAACCCACCAGTCACTTCTTGGAAACCCTAAGGGGGCAGATCTGCTCTGTCCTATAGGGTCACTGTGAGTCAGAATCGACTCAACAGCAAAGGGCTTTTTTTTTTTTAAATACTTCTTTGAGAACTAAGGTGCCTCTGACCCAAGTCATGGTATTTTCAATCACCTCATATCCATGTGAAAGCTGGACAATGCATAAGGAAGACCAAAGAATTGATGCCTTTGAATTATGGTGCTGGCAAAGAACACTGAATATACTATGGTCTGCCAGAAGAATGAACAAATCTGTCTTGGAAGAAATATAGCCAGAATGCTCCTTAGAAGTGAGGATGGTGATACTTTGTCTCACGTACTTTGGACACGTTATCAGGAGGGATCAGTCCCTGGAGAAGGAAATCATGCTGGTAATGCAGAGGATCAGTGAAAAAGTGGAAGACCCTCAATGAGATGGATTGACACAGTGGCTGCAACAATGGGCTCAAACAGCAATGATTATGAGGATGGCACAGGACTAGGCAGTATTTCATTCTGTTGTTCATAGGGTCATTATGAGTCGGAACCAATGCAATGGCACCTAACAACAACATACTTCTTTGTTACTGCCTCTGGCCTCAATTGTCACATCTTTCATTTATTTTTCTAGATGAGTCTCCTTCTTCGACCCTTACCTGCTGTCCATACCCTAACAGTCTTAATACTCTGATTAAACTTAAGACAATGCTGAGGACTGTTTTTTTTGGGGGGGTGGGGATCAGAGAATCATATATACCATATAATAGTAAATCAAATATTCTGGTGCCTAAAAAGGAAAAATACACATGTGTACCTTTTCACTTTTTTTTCCCCCAATGCATCAGAGCTCTGCAGGTTACTTCTGAGTTGGAAAGATCTGAGTTGCCTACAAATAACTAGACAAGTAGAACAGTAGCTGAAATGGGGTTTCTTTTGTTTTTGCTGTTTTGTTAAACAGAAATTCTTTTTTTATATATATAAATAGAATCAGTTTTATAAAAGTAACAACAATAAAACAAGTTATAAGAACTAGACCCCAGTCTTTGCTTTTAGTATTAGTATTTAGGGGATTACAGTAGAAAACTAGTGGACACAAGTACACTGGTCATTAAAATGGTATGTACAACATAGCTCTTGTAAATGAAAAGTGACAATCTGGTTTCCATTTTCAGGTTCTTGTGACCCTGGTTATGATCCACACTGCCAAAGTCAGATAAACTTCTGGTAAATCAATAAAAACAAGTTTCAAAACTGATAAAAATTAAGCTGAGGCCAAGATGCTTGACAGTGATAGGATATCTCATTCAAGAGACCCCCCATCAAAAGTAAGAAATAAAAGGAAGCCAGAGATAAGTGGGAGATGATAATGAACAAGAAAAAAAGGGCACTAAAGAATGTTTAACAGTGGCTGAAGGGACATGGGCAAATTACAGGGTTTGAGAAATCTTACAAAGTTCTTAAATACAAAGTCCATGAAAAATATTTTGAATTCTTCTGCCAATATAGTAACAAAAGCATTACTTCTAATATCAGCTGAAAGTGGATAGTTCCCCAAACCTTCCTACTTCCTTATATACCTGCTTTACTAGTTTAACTCATGCCTTCTCCTTTCTTCAAAGAGGTAACTCTTTCAAACAGGGAAATGTATTTGTGTTTCTTGGTCTCAAGTGGACAACTGTATTTCTAAGAGTAGTGATAACCTAAAAAGGCCTACTGGAGCATGAAAAACTGGGACCCATTTAATAAATGCTCTGGTAACCTGTCTTAGGAGCCAATTCATACTAATAATAGGCAGCATTTTGAAGGATCCTCAATGTTTTGAGAAAAATACTGGGTACCTGTCTTTCACCATATATTTCATGATCAAATAGCCATCTTATAGCTAAAGTCACAAACTCAAAAATAAGTAAACCACTCAAAGTTCCACGGCTGGTAGGGTAACATAGAGGTAACTCAAACCCAGGTGATCCAGCTCCAAAGCCTATATGTTACCTTCTATCACGTGGCACTGCCTTTTCCATATTGCAAACATAAATAATGGCAATGAACAATAAACTCCAAAGATGTGCCCACATTAGCTGATATGTATTACTGCTGGCTCCAAGGGTTTCTCAGAGCAGCAAAGTTTTCCTACCTGGGCTACCTGTTAACTGAAAAAAAAATTTTTCTGAATGATTTTTTAGCAGCCTAGCAGCAATTCTGGCATCTTCATCTCAGCAAAACATCCTTGTTATTAAACTACCACTAAAAATAAAATGGATTTAAGAAGCAGTAGAAGGCTATACAGAAAATAATTTGAAAATTAACCAAAATTCTGTTTGCTCTAAGTTCTGTGGCAAAAAAATTTCATAAGCAATGGACATACCAAACTTTAAAAACCCACACAATTACTAAAAGCAGCATTCAAAAGAATTCAGTTAACAGCTATGCATTTAATCACCCTACAAACACAACTATGAATCAATTCAATTTTTTAACATGCATTTTAATTAATAAGCCCCCTTCTTTTTTTTTTACCTGTACTGTTTTTAACTGTTGGGTCTGTACCACAGAGGGCTGAGTTGTAGTATTAATCAGTTGACTTCCTGGGGTCAATGCTGAGACACCAATGACAGGTTTCACCTCTGGCCTCCCTCCAATGGTAACTACTTTAATTTGCTGTGGTGGTAACTTTGCATCTCCTGACTGGGCCTGAGTTGTAACTTTCTGAGCCTGGGGTAGTTGGCTATGGGGTAATGCTAAAACAATTGGTGAACCAGACTTGCCCAAAGTTGTTAAAATTAACTTCTGTCCATCTGGTTTAAGGGTCTGATTGCCAAGTTTAAGATCAGATGTCTGTGATACTTTGTTTAAAATAATCTGATTGGCTGATATAGTCACAGGAGTCTGAGCACCAAGTTTTTGAAGGCCACTTGGAAAAGTTGGTTTCACTGTGGTATTAGAATCTGCTTTAGTAACTGTGGTATTCACTGCAACTTGGTTAGTGTGGTTACTGTACACTGTGATTGGTTCCGTGGAAATGGGCGTGGCTGTAGAGTCACCAGTAGAATTTATGTTGACAATTTCTTCCAGTTCTGTCTCCATGGGAATTGGGGATGAAACAATAACAGCCTCAATACTATCATCATCCACTAACGTTATACCAGTGTCCATTATCTCCTCTGGAAGCAAACTATTCACCTCAGCTGGCACCACCTCCATGATCGTTCTCCTGCTAGAAAGTTGATCAGGCACTGCAATAAAAGTTGAAAAATGAATAGGTTACTCACTGGGTTTCAGAACAGATTTAAAAGAAAAAAAAAAAAGTCAAGAAAAATGCAAGTGACAAAATAACCATTTTTTATTGATATATAACTGAATGAAGGCTATTCCTGATGCTTATTTGGGTTAAACCATTTTAACACATCCTCAACATTCAAATATCTGAAATAAAGTCATAATGGACCCAAAACTAGAAGCTAACATTCTCATTTGCTCAACCCCATTTGCTCTCAACCAAAAAGTATACTGCAATCAAGCAATGCTAAGTCACATAATTACAGGAAACACCTTTCTAATGCCCTCTCATAAAACTTTTTAATCTTTGATGTGTCTAACCATCTTATTTCTTCCCAGCTATGTTTCTCCCCCACACTGAAAGACCTGAAGACTGCTGATTCACACAAGCAAATAAGGATATAAATATTAACAGATAATGGAAAATATCTTCAAATCTCCAAGAGCTAAGTCCTAATATGAGGGTACTATACCATTCATGGAGCCCTGGTGGCACAGTGGTTAAGAGTTCAACTGCTAACCAAAAGGTCAGCAGTTTGAATCCACCAGCTACTCCCTGGAAATCCTATGGGGCAGTTCTACTCTGCCCTATAGGGTAGCTATGAGTCAGAGTCAACTCCACGGCAATGAGTTTGGGTTTTTTTGTTTTTTTGTTTTTTTTTTCAGTATACCCTTTATAAAGCCCATTAAATACCCAAATTAATGTTAAAGGAGTTTCTAAAGTAATCCATCTCAGTGACTGCAGGTCAAACAGCTTATACGGCACAAGTTTGATCAATTAGCTTCATATCAATGAAACCTTTATTTGAAAAGAAGACTTGCTAATCCCCCTCAGTCATTTAAGATGTCAGATAGGTAACCATTTAAGAGGTATATAGCCAGACCACATACAGGAGAAAAAAAAAAAACAAAAAAGGTAATAATAATAAAGCAGATTACAGACAAATCAGACTGCAATACTTTTAACCAAAGTTACGCAAAACTTCCAGTAAAGGAAGCAATACCATTATCTTCACATATTAAAGAGAGCACATTATCTTCATGACTGACTAAATAGCAATAAGTTATTTACCCAGAGAACATTAAAGATGAATAGGAATCTAACAAGCTAATTTTTCTTTTCTTCCCTTTTTTTAAATATAAAAATGCAATATCCATTCCAAGATTAAAAGAAACAGACATGAATAGCAAACTATAATTACTAGCATTATACAAATACTAGCACTGTCAAGAATTAATGATCATTACTGAGAGCTTACTATCTACCAGTGATGGCATTATTTTATTTAATCCTCACGACAACTCTATTACATAGGTACCATTATCATTCCCATTTTACAGATGAGGAAATTTCAAAAGGTTAAGTAATTCGCGCAAGGTCACACAGTTAGTAAATAGTAGAGTTAGGACTCAAACTCATGTTTTTAGGATACCAAAGTTCATATTTTAATCACAAAATTATATTGTCTTTAATTTTTACCACTAGTATTTAAAAATGGAGAAAAACAAGTCTACTCCTTTACAGGATGCAAACAGTCAAACAATTGACCACTAGCTGAAAGGTTGGTGATTCAAACCTACTAAGAGGCACCTGGGAAGATAGGCCTCGTGATCTACTTCCAAAAGGTCACAGCCTTGGAAACGCTATGGACCAGCTCTACTCTACATACTGGAGGTCACCATGACTCAGAACTGACTCCTCAACAGCAACTAACAACAACTACTTTACAGTCAATACCCCACCTTGAAACACCAGCCTATGCAACCACTGATCTGTTCTATCTATAGATTAGCTTTGCCTTTCTGTCTGTTCTAAAAGGTCACATAAATTGAATCATATATTATGTACTGGTGACACAGAGGAATCATATGGTATGAGTTTATCTTCTCAGCAAGTTTTTTGAGATTTATCTTTATTATTGTGCTTATTAGTAAGTCTCTTCCTTTTTTATTGCCGAATAGTATTCCATTGTACAAATCTATCACAATTTGTTCATTCATTCAACTGTTGATAAACATTTGGAATGTTTACAGTTTGGGACTATTATGAATAATGCTTTTATGGACATTCAAATTCAAGTTTTCCATGGACATACATTTTCATTTCTCTTGAGTAAATACCTAGAAGTGGAACTGCTGGATCATAATGTAAGTTTATCTTTAACTTTGCATGAAATTACCAGACTGTTTTCCAACTTTGGTATACCATTTTATGCATGTATCAGCAATGTATGAAATTTCAGTTGCTCCATATTCTCACCAACAATTGATACTGTCAGTCTTTATAATTTTAGCCATTTTAGTGCTGAAGTGGTATCTCATTGTGGTTTTAATTTGAAATTGCACATTACTCATGATGTTAAGTATGTTTTCACATGCCCATTGTCTATTTGTATATTTTCTTTTGCAAAAGGCCTGTTAAAATCTTTTGATCTGTTTTAAAAACTGGGCTTTTATTTTTTTTGGCTTATTATTGAATTGGATGAGTTATTTAAATATGCTGTAAAATCATCAGTCACAATAACATGTAGCTTGAAGGAGTCACTAGGTTGTGGAAACCCAGAGTACCAGTACTTCTCTACATGAGGGTTTTCCTGATCAAGAAAAACTTCAATGGACAGTCACAGTACAGGCATGCAAAAACATTAACACCAATTATACGTTCAGCAGTGGAAGTCACAACAACAGTGCACAACACCAAAGGATCCACCCACAAAGTCACATTAGCTTCCCTTCCCTTGCCAAGCCCCATCAGGTGAATCTGGATGCCACTCCCCCCACAGAACCAGGTAGCATGGTGAATTGGACACCGCATCCTACAGAGTCATACAAGTTTGACTCCCTTCTCTCCCTGAAGTTACCCAGCATATTTAGACATTTGGGTATGGCCTTTAGTCCCCTTTAAGGACAAGGAGACCCAAGCCCAGCCCGTATTCATCTATCTGCTTAAAGTACCTGAAGTCAAAGAGCAGATGCAGGGAGAGGTCGGGCCAAGGAGGGAGACAGTGGCAGTTTTGCATTTACTTTCAGTTTCAAGTATCCACCTCTGCTGCTCAACCAAACAAACCTATACTGTTTTTGATCCACCCACAGCTCTATATTCTTATTGCTGACATCATTTTTTTTAGGATTGAAAAACACCATTGCTGACACCACTTTGGGGGGGTACTCCTTGACTCAGCAGCTACAGCCACATTGTTTTTCAAATGGGGCCGTGGAGTTTAGTGTACAACAACCAAAGCACCATTCAGGTGGCTTGTTTCAATCCTGCCTCTAAATATTCATTAACAGGTAGAAGATTGGGAGACTCTTACACCTCCTACCTCCATCCTTGTCCATCACCTGAATGACAGCTTTTGCTCCCATACCCTATAACCCAGCCCACAAGACCATCGTCCTTTCTCTTTCAGAAAGCTATGTCTCTGTCAGCTCGCCATCCTCATGGCCAAAACTGTCCAAAACTGTCAAGAACTGTGAGGAGTCTGTGATTATATACCCTACTTGCCTATAGCAGTACTAGTATTATTTCATGATACTGGAAGAAGACACAGTAGTCTGAGGTCAGAGACAAAAAACTTACTATTCACAGCCCAGCAAGAAACATGAGCGTCTTGTATCAGTTCCCTCTTGCCCCGCAAGTTTCATGAGGTCAAGTGGAGTGACTCAAGTAGGAGCTGCACATTCAGTGAGTTTGTATCCAACTAAAGAACCCTGAGTTTAGGCAACCCAAATCTTTTAAAATTGACTGCAAGCAAATCTGCCCTTTGCCCATACAAAAATATTACCTTTATTATGCTGGACAATAAGCAAATCTGCCCTTTTGCTCCAATGGGAGATACTATCTCTATCATCCAAGGCTCTCTGCTATACAAGCATCCTTGAAAAGGTTTTTTGTCTCACTTGCAAGAGGTGCAAATATGTGAAGATCCATAGAAAATCATCTCCCAACAGTATATTCTCTATCTCAGCAATGTTTCGTACTTCAAGTATATAAATCTTGTACATATTTTGCTAAATTTATCCCTAAGTATTTCTTGGCTTTTGATGCTATTATAATTGGTCTTTTTTCAGGGATCGTAATAGAGGGTGTCTCAGACAGAGCAGCAGAAAAATGTAGAACACAATTCAAATACACCAAAAAGACCAGACTTATTGGTCTGACAGAGACTGGAGGAACCCTTGAGACTATGGCCCCTGGACACCCTGATAACTCAGAACTGAAGCCACTCCTAAAGTTCACCTTTCCGCCAAAGATTAGACAGGCCCATAAAATAAACAAAAACACAAGTGAGGAACGTGCTTCTTAGATCAATAAACTACACGAAACCAAATGGGCAATGCCTGCCCAAAAGCAAAGACAAGAAAGCAGGAAGGGACAAGAAAACTGGACAAACAGAAACAGGGAACCCAGGGTGGAAAGGGTGAGAGTGCTGACACATTGAGGGGATTGCAACCAATGTCAGGAAACAATTTGTGAATAAATTTTTGAATGAGAAGCTAATCTGCTCTGCAAACTTTCACCTAAAGCACAATAAAATAAATAGTAATAATAATAATTGGTCTTTTTTTTTCCCATTTTCCAATTGTTTGTTGCCAGTAGAAATACAACTGATTTTTGTATATTGTCCTTGTATCTTGTAATCTAGCTAAACTCATTTATTAATTCTAGTAGCTTTTCTATAGGTTCCTTAGGATTTTCCACAAAGGCAATCATGTTGTCTATGAATAGTTATCTTTATTTCTTCCTTCCCAATGTGTATATCTTTTATTTCTTTATTTTGCCTTACTATACTGGCTAGGACCTCCAGTAAAACATTAAATAAAAACAGTGAAAGCAAACATCCTTGACTTATTCCCAATCTTAACTGTTAGCTGTAAGTTTTTCATAGATTCCCCTTACCAGGTAAGAGCCCTGGTGGCACAGTGGTTAAAGCTCTTGATTGCTAACTCAATGGTC